AAGACTACGTTAGAACTTTCTTCGGCTGCTGAAGTGTTAGGGGAAATCTTAGTTGTGCTCAGTGAAAAATAAGAAATCTTCAGTTGTTTTGTCAGTGCGCTAAGAAATGAAAGAAATTTAACTTAAAGAAAAAATGGGAGATTTTTGATTATGAAATACTATAGTCGTAAAAAATATGTTAAATATGACCTAAAAAATTAAAAATTGAAAACTGAGTTAGATTGTATCTAAAATTTGATATGACTTAAAAATTGAAGAAAATAAAGTTGCGATAAGAAAAATCAAGACTGCGATAGAAAGATTATATTATATCTACTCATAAATTATTATTATTATCACGATTTTTATCCATCTAAGTATACTATTACTACATTATTTGGCTTTCGAGAATTTTGTTTATAATTTATGTAATTTAATATTATTCATTAGTTTATGTAATTTTTTTTTAACCTTAAAAACGTAAAAAAATAAATCATAAATTTTGTATTGATAATTTCAGTACATAAATGTTAAATGTTGCTTTGTTATTTTATTATTTTAAGTACCTACTTATAAGTTATAAATTTTACTCGCATATTGAAAAATATTTTTCAAAATTTAAAATTTACTTTATTTTATGGAAACGGAACTATTTAAAAATAAATATTAAGTACAACCACCATCCACCAACGTAATTGTCCAGAACTTAAAGCAATTATAATGTTATGTTAACCCTAATATCACAGCATCAGTGCCAAATTGTACCGTTCGTAAGCCATAATTGAATAGTTCTAAAAAAATATTTAGCCAGTATAAATAAAATGCAACATATTTTAAAATAAAATTTAACCATATACTAAATATTATATTTTAAAGTCTCTATAATAAACCGTGAACAAAATTTAATAATAGGAAATGGAAAATTATTGTATACACTGTGTAATTATTAGTAATTAAGTAATCGGTAGATGAATATTTAATTTTAATCAAAGCAACTTTAAAGATACGTACATAATTATTATCTATGATAATTCATATTACAGCAGTTATTTTCTGATCAAAACTAAAAACAAGAAATACAAAACTATTTATGATACAACTGTTCGTAATTTAAAATTGGAATGAATATTATACACAACCTATATTTTAGATTTAACAAAAAGTATTTTTGTGCCAAATGATTTAATCATATGATTGCCTCCTTTTAAGCCTATGAATACTACTCGATATTGTATATAAGATTGACATTTTAATTTGATAATAATAGTAGAGCACTATATAGTTGTTGTTTTGCCAACAAAAGCAGCCAATTCGGGGCTAAAAATGATCAAGAATCGGGTAAACGAGGCCGTAGCTTAATACCGTTATAAAATGTCGAAATTCATTTTTATCGTCAATTCACACTAAAAAATATTTGTATAAATATAAAGCGTTTCTATGATTAATGTCGTTACGTGTTGTAAATGTTGAAAAAAATGTAAGTGATAATTTATGACTGTTATAAAATGTTAAATTCTTCAGTCACATAATTTAAAAATTAACATAAAATTTACTATACTAATGTATGCTCTTACTATTTTATTGTCTGCAAAAAGTATTATTTACTTACGTTGTATTTTTTTTTTTACTCTTTGTTAATTTAAATCTGCGTTAGTGTCAGATCTCTAGGATTCTTCTAAATGTAAATGGAAAATGGGATTTTAACATATACATCCCCTCTAGCAATGGTTCTCAATAAATTGTAGTTTCGATAATGTTGTTCATCAACTTTTTCACTGTAAGCCTGGTACCATTACAGTATCGTGGTGGATTGAAATTTCTTATTATTCAATGAGCACGCCAAATTTTAATGTTAAAATGTGCGGTGGCATTAATTCATTTTTTTTTTTAATTCATTTTAATCCCATAGACGCACGTGCCATGGAAATAAATAATAAAAAATAATAATAACAAATTCAGGGATAATAAAATCTTTCGCACTAAATAATATTATTATAACAATCATCTATAAACAAAAATTTCCATCGTAAATCTCAAAATGTTTGTTTGAGCGACTCCCGGGGTTGGGCCTATCTTTTTTTATTTTTTTTGGGGGCTTATCTCCTACCCATAGGTCTAATATATTTCTGTACCAAATTTCGTCGCAATCGGTCCAGTAGTTTAGGAATGCATAGAGGACAAACAAATAAATAAACTAAGACGATTAATTTCATCTTTTGACAATGTAGATGAAACATTACTAAACCTTATTTAAGTTGAAAACTTGCTCTATTCAAAAAGTAATAAATTCAAAACAAACAAAAATTGATAATTTTTTTAATGTGAAATAAAGTATGTAATTTATTGGTATGTGTAAATGTAAATTTTAAGATAACATGTAATATGAAATAATAAAAATAAAATTTAATAATAAGTATATACTCGTACGTATTAGTATACTTGTAATAATAATAATATAATATAAATACAATCATAATAAAAAATTCATAATTTATGGACAATTTTTATTTGTCAATTTTTTGTTTTTCCCGCGTAAGACGAATTCTTGTTTTTCTACTTTTTTTTTACCTGGTCCTTTTGAAAGCGTCTTAAACGAATTCTACTGTATATAAAAAAACTATTGATGGGCATTATAGGTTTTTTTTTACAAAATTCATAATAATTAATCCTTTATAGACTGTAAACAGTGTATCTATATACATATATAAAATATGCTGCATTGTTAAAAAGGTTGAAAAGGTTTTACACCCTATATCATCAAAACAATTTATAATTATTAGAATAATAATGTATTTTAGTATTATAATTTAATATTATCTTAACCATCAGGTTTATTCATGAAAATAAATGCTTCTTATTATGTTGGGTTATGTTACCTATTACTACAGGCAAATAATAAAATAAAATATGGGGACGTCAATTTCCTTCATATTTTAACATAGGAATAGTAGCAAGTTTCTTGTGCTAATATGGTTAAAAACTTTTTAATTAGCTGTCCATCGGTGGTTTAATCAATAGTTTGGACGTACAATCCAGACGAATGTGCTTTTATTGCTACGTTGCACCGTGAGGTATTGACAAATAAACCATTATAAATACCTAAATAATTACTCTATTAACTTATAGAATATAAATTAAATCTAAAACCCGCTTTGCAATGAACTCGTTCATTAAAAAAAAAAAAAAATCGAGATAATCAAATGAGTAGTTTCAGAGGACATGCTTGATAAATATTCCATTTTCACATTTATATATATACACATATAGATAGATAGGTTCTTCTTTTTCTTTGGGGTTTATCAGCCATTAAGACCATCCCATTACACATCCAATTCTCCAGCTTTCTCCATTCAAAGCTCGTGCTTTCCAATCAGGTCCTCCATTCAGTGTAAACACGTCTATTTTTATCATTTCTTCTCACCTTAATCGAGGTCTCCCTAGTGGTCTTTACCAACTGGGTTCTCGCCCATAGTCATCCTTTTTATGTTTTTTTAGCTTCATCTAGCGTGTCCGGTCCACTGAATTCTTCGGTTTCTAATTGTATTTACTATTCTTTTCTTTTTTAAATACACTTTCCAATTCATTATTTTTTCATATTCTCCACTCAGCCGTTTCTCTGTTTTTCACTGGTCCAACAATTTTCCTTTCAAAGACCATAAATAAAGACCATAGATAATACTAGCTTATTTATCACCATAAAATCTGAATTTAGAATTTGTCGCATAAACTTAGAAGCTATTAAGTAATTAGTTTTAAAATCTGTAAATAAATGCTAAGAACAAGAGTTGACAAAAATTTTTTTTGTACTTATAACTTTTGTTTTACATGTAATCAAATGTAACTAGAAAATTGACGATAATTCCAATTAGGATTTTTTTTTTATTGGAATATAACTTTTATTCTTCTTCATGGTTGACTATAACATATTGTATGGTATCTAATAAATAAAAGCAGGGCTTGTAAGTTCATGCACTAAAAAACGCATAAATAAGTATGTAATAATGTATTAATATTTGATAAAATATGCATTTATATGCATTTAAAATCTTTAACTATGAACGAAAAAAATATATATATATGCATTTTTTTTTAAAATAATAAGTACTATCCATTCATATTTTTAAAATGTACATTTTATTTCTTCGATTACATTTTATTAAAATTATTAACATATGAACACACGTTGCGATGAAAATAAATTATAGATTATAATGCCCTCGTTAATAGGAAGAGGGTGGTTGGATGCGCATTAACATTGTTTCCGTGGTACTTATAAAATAGAGTCATACAAAAATAAAAATACTGGTAAAATACTAAAATTTTGTAAACATGTTCGGAAAAGTAAATAAGAATTAATTTAAGCATTTATTGATCTAATTTTTTTTCAACTTCCACGAAAAACGATTTTGCTGAATTTACATAAAACAATATGCACTAATAACTCGATAAAATCAACTATATGTCAAATAAGCCAATACACACAAAATATGCTCTATTAAACTTTAGATTTTTATTACCTATCATTGTTATGAAACAGATTTGTATCTCATTTAGGATGTTTTCCAATGTAGCAAAAAAAACTAGCAAATGCATGAACTTATGAGCCCTGCATATAAGATAAGATCAATAGATATTAAAAATTTGTACAGTTAAAATGTAGAATTCGAAATTCAGATAAGATGGTGGTGACTGCAGTGCCAGACTGGTTCGAATAGGCTAACATGTATCTTGTTTTAAAAGGCCTTAATTTTAAACATTTTCAATAGTGTAGAAGGCTTATATAATTGAAGTTTAATGTGCAATATTGTGTATACACTATAGGCCAGTATGGATTTGTAGGTATAGTATAAAGAACCCCCACAGGTCTCTGTTAAGTTATTTTACTCTTGAAACACAGTTTTTAAATTGTTAACTATCCAACTTTATATTTCTCAATTCGAGCATCGTGTACAACAGAAATAAAAACCTGTGTAAACGTGATATGGACATATATATATAAAGAAAACGTTCTATTAAGACACTTAATTTTAAATATTCATAATACTTTATTTACAACAAATATATTTTACAATTATAAATAAATATTAATACTTTAGGTAAGTTATTATCATCAGATTCATGTATTTGGTCGAGAAAATGGTTCTAAGGATCCAGGTTGTACCCAAGATAAAGGTTGATTTCTACTATCATTTTCCTAGTTAAGCAGATAAATATAATATATATTATTTAAACACAAATAATTAAAATAATAAAATAATATAAATATTTAAATATAATCATTAATAATAATGATATTAATGATTAACCATAAAAAATCAAGCAACGATAAATTTTACTGAAATTTCAAAATGATTTGAAAACAAAGTAAAATATAGGAAAATCATTTTTTTTATAAGAATACATACTTTTTGTTGTAACCATGAACGCCTAATTGTTCCATGAATTTCTTCATTAAAATGATCAAAATGTAAGTAATTTGGATCATTATTCTCAGAATGATTTGGTTGCTTATAAATATCAACTTGACTTTGTTCAACACAGTCTACACATTTTTTCATATATTTTTCATTATCTATTTTCAATCTATAAATGTACATATATTGATAAATTATCTACCCAAAATGTAAATTATTCTACAAATTATAATTACAATTCAGCGGCTTCTGGGTTTTCAGGAGTCTTAGTTCTAGGTATATCATAAAAACACTTTAAAACATGATCAATTACATGCCAAATACGGCTAACTCCTTTCTTCCATTCAGGAAAATGATTTTGAATACTCATTTCCCCAGTAACAGGGTTTACAAGAGGATGAAAAATAGGTGTTTCAATTATCACTTTAGGACAATTGCAATCAGGCCAATTGCTATCTATATGTATACGAAAACGGAAAACTCCATTTTTATAAGGTCCATACCTTGGAAAAATTACTCCATACCAAACTAATATTAAATGTAAAATATATATTATTAAAAAAATTTATAACAAAATGTATCATACAATATTTTCTTACTAAATGGAGTTTTTGCAGCTGGTATAACATAAACTCCAGGCAATAACTTTTTGCTCAAAATATTGCTGAAAATAGATAGCAAAAATTATAATATTGTTAAACTTGTATGAAAATAGTAATACAATATCTTCTTAGTAGTATTGACATTTTTATAATCACAAACCTAACCATATTATGTTAATTTTTTTAATTATATACACTATATATTTGAATATTATATACCATAATGTGAAAACATTCATATAGTAATTATTTATAGATAATGTTTAGATACTTTCTGAATTTAATGAAAATAATAAATATTATAGTTCAAATATTAGGGCTAATAATAATTTGTATTATATATCAATTTTAAATTTAATTACATACTAATAAATTTATATCAAGGTAAAATATTTCACAAGGATTTAAAAAAGGTTAATTTTATCTCCTAATTGTGCATATATATAGGCACATCAAATTATTACTTACAATTCAGACATGAGGGTATATTCTAGAAAGAAAGGAATATAACTTGCATTTATATAAGAGTTATTTCGATTGGCTGATTTGACTGCAATACCACTAACACCTGTAGTATCATTTCCGGGAGGCATAACACGACGAAATGAACCAGTACGATGAAAAACATCTTCATTATTTCCAGACTAAATAAAGATATCCAATAATATTAAAGAAAATAATAATTCGTTGAAATTCAATGTTAATATTTTACTTACCATTTTACCCTGATGAGGAAATATTTTTCGATTATGAACAAATTGAACCTAAGTATAATAATATGTTAATGAAAGTTGATTGTGTAGAAATTGTTTAGATACTTCTGTACTCTGTAGAGAATATTGATATATTATATAAAAGTCTAAAAAATATTATTATTAAAACTTTAAATATTCTGTTAGCACTAACGGAGTAAAATTGTTATTAGTTTAATACAAGGTGTATTGATATCAGATTGATAACAGGTATTATGGTTTAAGATAGTCTATCTCAAACTGAGTGAAGGACTGACATTTTTATCAAAACAGATTCGTCCTACACAGATTCATACTTGGGATGGGAAATATAATTCAGTTAAATTAATCGACTCTCTTAATTCAGTTCAGTTTATTGAATTTTTTTAGTGATTCCCTTCGAATCATTTATATATAATTTAAATTTAATTGAAATTATTGTTATACTGATAGTAATACCTACCTATTTAAATTAGTTAATTGTGTATCAGTTGTAAAGCAGATACTTATCAAATGTTTTAACGATTCATTTTTTTAAAATATGTTATATAAAAATGTGTAGATTTACAATTTATTTCAACATTTACGAAATATATATCCATTTGGTATAAACTAAAATATTATGTTGCTCATTGTATTAGCTATAACCAGTGGTTGAATTGGAAAAAAAAATAAAGGTGGACTCTAAATGTAGCTGAACAATTAGCGTTCCAAAGCAAATTAATCTAAAAAAAACCGTGGGGGACTTTGTCCCCCCCACCACCTAAATGCATCTACAATATAAATAATTAAATATATCTAATGATTAACACAGATATCTATAACAAATAATAAACAATACTAATAGGTATTTATTTGTATTAATTCTATCAACACAGCAACACGTCTAGCAAATTTAAAATCTAAAATGTAAATATATAGCCACATGATAAAATTAATTAATCAATAAACTTTCAATTTAAAATAATTCATGTATTTTACTGTTGCCTACAAAAAGTAAATATTAAATTTATAGATTATAAATGTTACTCTGTAATTAGTATATTAATTTTTTTTTGTCAATATTAATTTTAATATTTGAAGTTTAATATTAGTCAAATAATTTATTTCATCCCGTCACATTATTTTTAGGACTAAGATTTGCTGAGAGTTAAATAATAATTATTTTTATCATAGTTATGTATATGTATTGCTTTAAAATGTATGACCAAAAAAATTTAAGGAACTTTTAACTGTATTTATTAACTTTTTTTTTAGGTAGGTACTAGGTACTTAAGTAAAAAGGGCTAATAACTTTTTTTGGAAAATCAAGTTTTTTTTATAAATTTTATCAAATTACCAAAAAATAAAAATAGCCGGGACTGACGTTCATTGATAATCAGATTGTACATCAGTTTTTCTAATAAATTTTATTTCTACTTTTTTTTTTTTAAGGCGGGATTTATGAGGGTGGATTATCAAAAAAAAAATAAAAGTACACCGGTAACAGGAATCTGCGCACGTCTATGATTTATTATTAAACTAAAGTGTTTTAATTACCTTGGTTATTGTTTTTCTTTTTATTGAAAAAGTCCGATATGGACAATTTTTGACGTTTATTCATGTTTATTTGTTTATTGCTGACGTGACATGTAGGACTGTAGGAGTGCGGTTGAGGTGTTTACTATTTTCAACAAAATTACAATTTATAAATTACATACGCGAGTACGCGACAAGCTAACATAATACCGATTACTCATTCGTGGCGCACCTCGTTTCCAAATAAAATATAAATAATATTTAATTTTCCTTGAAAACGATCACCATTTGTTAATCGTCGATAACTAAAACAACGGACGGATTCTCAAAATACGGAGTCAATATATTATTATTGTCAATGGTTTACTAAGGATCGTTATCGTCGGTACACCCAGGGAAGTTTTCGTAATAGTTATATTTTTAGCAATGTAGCAGCTTATACCACGAATTAATACGCAATGGAAACACTTGAAACGTGTTACATAAATTATATAACATTATTATATATTTTATTATTGCGTTCCTAATATACATATGTGCTAATAATAATGAACAGATTACTAAAAACTAATACCAAAAATTAAATAAAATATTAATCGTTTCCAATTTTTTTTCATATTTATTTAATTTTTCTTAGAAACAAATTCATATTCATATAATTGTTGAAGGACGCTGCGTCCCCTGCGTTCCTTGATGAATTAAATTAAGGGGTACGCTATAATATGAAGAAAAATGAAGAGTAGCCCAGACCCTCTGCGTCCCCCCCCCCAATTCAACCACTGGCTATAACTAAATCTAAATAAACGGATAGACCAGTCTCACGGATAAAGGATAATACTCGGATTTTAATAATTTCAAAATTGGAATTAAGAATAGAAGATAGAGTCAGTTCCGATGTTTAATATATAAATCTAAATCCGTCGAAATTTAATATCAACAAGTGACATCTAAAATTATGCACGTCACTTAAGTACTCGTATAGTGTGCGAATAGTAACTATTTACTATTACTATTATATATTACTACTATTATATTAATGATAACAAGTGTAAAATTTACTATAAGCTCAAAAATAAAAAAATAGGTTGGTACATAAATTGAAATTTGTAAAAAATTGTACAAGTATGTTATTTATGTAGATTTGTATTTTAACTACAAGTTTTGTGATAAAGATTTCCTAAAACGAATGGGATAAATCTATAGATTAGTGACGAGTGCATTTGATACAATGTCTGTTAGTTTTCTCGCAGGTGTTTGCGAATCCGTGCTGGAATTCTATCGTAAATCATATGCGGAGGAATGTCCGTAATATGAAGAGGAATTATTGTTCTAAAATTAGAACACCACTTAACCAAAAATTTGAGACTGTTTATCTTTCAACAATCTCGTCATTGCCCGTATTATGTGTGATCGCGTCAAACGTACATTTATACATTGACATGTACCATAAAAAAACTTCCGAGCCCACCCGTAATGTATTCTTTGTACATACGCGTCGTCGGTGTATATTGGCTACCGGTGTATCACGGTAGTCACGCGCATGGTAATTAGGTACACTGTATTCGGATAAAACGTCATCCATGTAATAACTATATTACCATAGGGTGGTTCGAAGGATCTTACGAAGGTGCAAAATGATGTAGAGTACCTATTCGATGATCTCTTTATACAACATAAAACATGTATAGAATATTTTAAGTCTAATTATTATGTTAAAATAAAATTTTTCAATTATTCCAGCAGACTAAATGATGATGGTATACAACGAAATGGTTCTTTGTGTACAAAGGTGTACGTGTGATGATACGTAAATTGTGTAGCTCCAAATATGTTCATATATATATATTTACTGTTACGCCTAATAAATTTTAATTTATCAAACCAAAATGAACATAAAAATGGTTTTTACCGGGGCACCGCCCCTGTAGTAAGTGCGCTTTACAAGCCGTCTCTGATTACCGGTTCACGGTATTTGTGTGGCCGTGCGTCCTTTGCGAGGCGTACCTTTTCCGTGTACTTAACGGGTTGCGTTCGATCATTTCAATTCCATCTCTTGCCGGAAACAAACGGTGAAACGGTTGTACCGTATTTTTTTACGTATGAATTTTCATAGAAACGAATTGTTGTTTCTCTCAAAACCGGGCGACCAATGCTTCAAGATTTCTCAAACGGAACACAAATCGAATGTTCAACCGCGGTCAAGGGTTCGGGGTGATCGATCGACAGAAACATTCTAAAGGCCACCAACGACACTCGCAAGGGCATGCGTCTTCATCCCTCTCACCCCTCGGAACACGTTTTACGTTATAAAAACGACGGCCCTTATTGTATTGGAACGACGACGCACGCAACAACGTTCGCATTGTTAACGGACGGAGCCAGGTAATTTCCTGCGCGCAACAACGACAACAATAAGGATACGTGTAAGCGGCGCTCGTGCGAATTCTTTCGGTTTCCCCTGCACCGGCCCACCGTTTTCTCCAAACGACTACTCGTCCTGCGTGTCCATTCATAATCCCCGTACCACGTGCCCATCCTAACCCCCACACACACATACACATACGATCGTCTCACAGACCGCAGCCGAATACGTTTTTTTCTCTCTTCTAATCGCCACCGGTCATCGTCTCGCGTTACGCGCGCGTAGACTCGGGTGACAGGCGGCGGCGAACGAGCGAGAGAGATCGCGCGCGTATCCGTGCGATGTTCGCGCGAAGATAACGACGGCGGCCAACACGTTATTACGACGCGTACGCGCACTGTCCCGACGACGACGGCCCATTACAACAATATAAATTTAATTGTATAGAAAAAAAAAAAATACACCGAATCGTTATCGGTCGGGTTGTTGTTTAATGGTAATGGAATGAAAACAATACGTCGAGGTGTAGGTACAGGTACTGATGTGCCGTGGGCAAATACCCGATGGGTAGGTAAATATTTTAGTAGGTTAGTACCCAAAATATTTGCCTACTAAAAATTTAGGTAAATATTTTTTTTAATTGTCAAAGGTAATCATTTTTATTAAATAAATTTCATTTTAAAATTTGAAGCGTTTTGGTTAGTTTTTAAATTCTTAGATTTATTTGTTTCCCCATTATAAGTGGTATTGGTTTCAAAGTGAATAAAATTAACAAAAACTTCATAAACATAATTTATGTACTCTAATCATCAGTCTTGGAAAAACATGAAAAATTCAGGAAACAATCATAAAAAAGTATTGTGGTATCCATGGATTGGTTTTAGCATGAAAAATAAATGTATCCAGTTTTTATTGGGTAAATACCCGGCATTTACCTGAAATTATATTTACCGGGTATTTTCCCATCACTAGGTACAGGTACCGTCGTCGCGTCGAACGCACCGGCGCGTACATTTTCTGCCGTTTAAAATGATATTATTACATCACCTTCGTTGCGTGTGTTCGTACTGTTATTTTTAATAACCGGCAGACCACACGAGCCAATGGAGAACGAAGAATATAGGAAGATTAACTAGGAGAATAGATAGTTGATGGTCACGAGCAAACGCACCATGGTCGGGCGCCCAACAACAAGTTTGCTAGTCGGTACGGTAAAAGATATCGTATAGACCGAGCGCAGCCGACGAAAGAAATATACTTCGACATCCATCATCGACCATCGTTCTCAATTTGAACCTTTCGGCAAATTAAT